CGTGGGTTTGATCCCTGGGTCAGGAAGATCCCCTGGAGAAGGGAAAGGCTACCCACTCCAGCATTCTTGTTTGGAGAATTCCACGGACAGAGGAGCCTGGTGGGCTACAGTTCATGGGGTCTCAAAGAGTTAGATGTGACTGAGCAAGTAACTCTTTGTTTTTTTTTTAGATGCCAATGACATCACCGGTGATGAGTGGGTTCTGTTAGCATCTCAAATCATTAAAGGAAGTGGTGAGTCCTGAGGGGCTTCTGGGATGTTGACTGGTTCCAGGTGACTATTTGGAAGAATAGTTGGAGAACTGAATCAGGAAAAAAAAAAAAAAACCCACAACAAAACAACAACAAAAATTCAAACTATAATATTCCTTCTGTTTTAAAGAGAACAATATGAATGGCTCTTTGCAAACTGTGGAGTTGAACAACCCCTCTCATTATTCCAATGAAAGTGAAACAGACATTTAACCTCCAAAACAACAAAAGACTCTGGAAGCCCTAACCTCCCTCTGTCTTGGTGGGCGGCTCATGCAGGGATGGGGGGTGCTCTCTGGTGAACCATGAATTGGGTTTCATTTTCTTTTCACACAAGGAATTTGAAAGAAGTCGTTTTCAGCATAAAGTAGCAGATGAATGGGAAAAGGGGGAGGGTTGCCAAAGGAGAAACAGTTTCACAACAGTCTCAGAGTGGAAGATGGTCAGATTTACTTGCTTTCTGCATTAAGACAGGGATGGTTAATAGAATCTGACAACACCTACATGAGGCAGTAATACTTTCCATCTAAACAACATGCTTATTAAATTTTTGTATTTGTTTTAGTTTACACAAGCCTCTCATATATAAAATAGTGCATGAATAAAAGCCCAATCAGTGCCTAGGATTTTAAATATCACAACAAACTACCCCATTACCTGTTACTTTGAGGCATCTGATCCATCCAAGCAGTTTTCATCCTAATTGTAGTTTTGCCAAAAAATAAAACCATTAATCTCTCCTCCAAATGGTTAGATCATTATCAACCCATTTGTGAGCCTATTCCTATTTAAAGTCATTGTGAGAACTATATCCGACAGTTAAAACAACTTGAAAACCCTTTCAACTCTAAGGCTTTTCTCCAAAACTGCTTTACCTCCTTTGTACTTGGACTTTGCAAACAATTTCCATTATTTTTTCAGTGATTTTATATTCAAGTGAATGTAATTCATCCTCCAAACAAAACTACAGGCTGTCTTGATAGCAATATCAAGGGATAAAAGAGTTACTGAAAAAAACTGGCTATAATTATGAGTTGGGAGAGAGATTATGCGATGCTGCGGGGAAGAAGAATTATGAGAAGGGAGATGGTGTGGGCAAGAAAAAATAGAAACAGAGAAGGTCTGGCACATGGTGAGGGGCAGGGTAGTGATACTGGAGGCCACTAGTGCGCAGGCACGATGGTGTGTGTCTTCAGAAAAGGCCAAGGAAGAGAGCTGCTTCCATCATGAGCAAGTGATTCTAACTCAGGAACTGATGGTGACCTTTCATTTCATGGCCAGTGCCATGTTCTTGCAGCCAACAATGCCAGCTGTTGCCAGGCCAGGGGAGGCACTGCTCTCCACCTCTGTGAAGAGCCTCACCAGCCACCCAGAGACCTGGGGACCAATCATCACACTTACCCCCCATAACCACCCTTACACCAACAAGCCCTGCGCCTCCTGGAGTGTTTCTGATACTCCACCTCTCTCATCCTCCCCATCCTCTGGCTGGGACTCCTGGACTACAACAGCTTCCTAAAGGGTCTGGTCCTGTGTCCTCCTCTGCCAATCTGTCTGCCCAGCATGCTGCTGAACCTGCCCTCCCAGCCTCTCACTCCCCAGAGCCCACCACTCCTGGCCTTTCCGATTCATAAAATGCTCCTTTCCACCACAGAGGCAGTGGAAGCCGTTCAAGTGATTCCTTCTGCTTACAGGATTCCTCCCAGCCACACCCCACCCTCATGCCCACTTTGCATCGTCCTGGTCTTAACTTGAGGGGAGTCTCCCCGCTGGGTGTCCTCCCAGTCATATAGAAGCGCACTTTGAAATTAACTGTTCAAGACTCTATTCTCTGTCAGTCTGTAAGTGCTTCGAGGTCAGGCGCTGCTGGGCCATGCATGTCCCTGTCTGTAATACGGGGGTAAAACAACAACTTAACAGAGTGAGGATTAGATGAGTTCACTCAGGCAGCGAACTTAACTAGTACCTGACACATGTAAGGACTACGTAAGCTTTGTATCTGAGTCATTCAGTGGTGTCCAACTCCTTGCGACCCCATGAACTGTAGCCCACCAGGCTCCCCTGTCCATGGAGTTCTCCAGGCAAGAATACTGGAATGGCTTGCCATTCCCTTCTCCAGGGGATCTTCCCAACCCAGGGACTGAACCTGGGTCTCCTGCATTGCAGGCAGATTCTTTACCCTCTGAGCCATCAGGGAAGCCCACGGAAGCTTTAGCCATATGACAGTAATTGACACATTAATTAGAACAAAGCGTGTACTCAATAAATATATGTCGAATAAAGAAATGAAAAAAATGACGGTTGAACTAACGAATTCAGGAGTCCAGAGGGCCTTCTTTTTTCCAACTAGCTGTTACCCATAAGACAGTATAGAAATGCCATATGGAGAACAATCACAGAGAAGAATGATTGCTTGTCCCTGTCTACTGACACCATGATCAATGGTAAAAAAAAAAATAGCATCTTTGTTTCCTGGGATTTGAACTTATCCTACTGTGTTGCTAAAGAAATATTCACAACAAGGAGATCTGGAATGAATGAAGAGATAAAGGGATATGACATCACCAAATACACTCCAGGCTTCTCAGTCTTGTCTCTATGAGCTAAAATGTGTGCTCCTTGATGAGCACCATACTCTTTAGTTATTTCCAAGCTAGATGCGTAAGAAAACTATGCATGTCTGGTTGTTCATCCCAGCAAATGTTTACACAGAAAATTTCAGCCTAAGTTGCAAAAGGGAAGCTCTTTATCCCTTTGTTCTAGAACATTCCATACTTCAGATTCCTCAATGTCTTCACAAGAAAGGCATTGGTCAACTACACATCATGGGCTGCTGGTCTAATAGAAAGAGAAGCGTATAACACCAGCCTGGACTTGCAGCATGGTTCTGTGGCTTTTGTAGTGATGGAGTGTGCAAGCTCAGTCGCTTCAGTCATGTCCGACTCTTTGTGACCCTGTGGACTGTAGCCTGCTAGGCTCCTCTGTCCATGGGGATTCATCAAGCAAGAATACTAGAATGGGTTGCCATTTCCTACTCCAGAGGATCATTCTCTCCCAGGGATAGAACCCCCATTTCTTAGGTCTCCTGCATTGGCAGGCAGGTTCTCTACCACTAGCACCACCTGGGAAGTTCGCCATAGTGGTGGTACCAACACACTTATCTCGCCATAGTGGTGGTACCAACACACTTATCAAAAACTACACCTGGGCAAGGCGTATCTCGGAGTGAGTCCAATCCTGACAAATCCTGTTATCTGACAAAATTGTGTGTGTTTATTGTCCTTTAAGGAAGACTGTGATCATATCCTAAAATAAGTTTGCTGCAGAGAGCTCATTTAGATTTATAAATAAACACTGTTTCATCACATTAGTGGTGATTCTTCTTTCCCTCCTGTATTGGAGGAAGTTTTCTGTTCTTTTCTCTTCAGTTGACTTTTCTACTGCTGCCCTGAGCCCTCTATTTCAGCCTTTGGGACAGTCCATACTTTTTCAGTTTAGTCATCAGTTTTAGAAACTGGCATTTAAGAGATCTGATAATAATAAAAATGAATTCTGACAGATAAGTTGTTAGAGCCTTCGTCCTTGCACATTTAAATGTCCGACTCTTTGTGACCCTGTGGACTGTAGCCTGCTAGGCTCCTCTGTCCATGGGGATTCATCAAGCAAGAATACTAGAATGGGTTGCCATTTCCTACTCCAGAGGATCATTCTCTCCCAGGGATAGAACCCCCATTTCTTAGGTCTCCTGCATTGGCAGGCAGGTTCTCTACCACTAGCACCACCTGGGAAGTTCGCCATAGTGGTGGTACCAACACACTTATCTCGCCATAGTGGTGGTACCAACACACTTATCAAAAACTACACCTGGGCAAGGCGTATCTCGGAGTGAGTCCAATCCTGACAAATCCTGTTATCTGACAAAATTGTGTGTGTTTATTGTCCTTTAAGGAAGACTGTGATCATATCCTAAAATAAGTTTGCTGCAGAGAGCTCATTTAGATTTATAAATAAACACTGTTTCATCACATTAGTGGTGATTCTTCTTTCCCTCCTGTATTGGAGGAAGTTTTCTGTTCTTTTCTCTTCAGTTGACTTTTCTACTGCTGCCCTGAACCCTCTATTTCAGCCTCTGGGACAGTCCATACTTTTTCAGTTTAGTCATCAGTTTTAGAAACTGGCATTTAAGAGATCTGATAATAATAAAAATGAATTCTGACAGATAAGTTGTTAGAGCCTTCGTCCTTGCACATTTAAAACTACAGGATGCTACACTGAATTCCATTATGGAGAATGAATTTTTTTTTTTTTTTTTTCAGAATGGAAATAATGGCAACAGTGCTAAAGAATCCACATGCCAATGAAAGAGATGCAGATTCAATCTCTGGGTCAAGAAGATGCCCTGGAGGAAGAAATGGCAACCCACTTCAGTATTCTTACCTGGAAAGTTCCACGGACAGAGCAGCCTGGTGGGCTACAGTCTGTGGGGTTGCAAAGAGTCAGACACAACTGAACTGAGCACATACTTTACTTGGGGTTTTCTGTTATTGCTACTACAGCTGCTTCTACTACAACTTCCAGACTTTAAGAAATGTTGGTAACATTAAAAACAGTCATATTTATGATGATTAATATAATAATAAAGATTATAATCATTTACATGTTTATTTTTTATATGGAGGTATAATTTGACAGCCTATATTTTTAAATTTATAATTATAGAATCTGTGTGTATAAGTAAGTATAACTGACCTGTTTTTCTGTGGAGCAAACTGGATCTGTATGGAGAAGTGCTGGAGTCTAGGGCCTGAGTGGGAGCTGACAGTGGCAATGTCTTCGGACCGTCCGGGTTCCCAGGTGGGAAGGGGGAGCTCTGGCCATGTCTCAGTTCACTTCTGTCCATGCTGGAGAGGTGGAGAGCGTCCTGAGCTTTCTTCTTCTCCTTCTTTAACATATTTACCAAAATATCTAAAATTTGACTTAAGGATTTAGTCATTCATGATGGATTAGAATAATCAAAACACTTATTTTCAAGTGAGATTGATAGTTTCAACAACACTTGCTATGGTCATGTGACAAAGACAGACGAAAGAAAGACTTCACCTTTCTGAGGTCCTTGATACAGAGATGGACAGTGTGGGAGGATGCTGGCCTTTCAATAGGGCACCATTATCATTACATGAAAAATGAGCTAGCCTAAAGGTCTTTAAAATCTTTGAGATCAAACTAATCTGGGCTTAAAGCTTTCATGAAAGCGTTTGTAAAAAGGAAAATGAACCTTGGGTAGACAATGGAGCTGTCTCCGTAAACAAGACTTGAATGCAGGAAGTGGCTCTGGAATCAGCAGGACCAGGAGCAGGGAGAACACAGAGCCCGCCCAGCAGGCAGCTCAGCAGAGTCAGCTCTGGTGTCAGACCACCTCCACGTCCAACTCATGCTCATTCATTGTACCTTCGAACGGGGCTTTAAGCCACCTTTTTAAAAGTCTCTAATTTTGGGTCTCTCTAATTTCACTAAAAGAGGTGAATTATTAGTAAAGATGTGCATGCTAAGCAACTTCAGTCATGTCCAACCCTTTGCGACCCCGTGGACTGTAGCCCGCCAGACTCCTCTGTCCATGGGATTCTCCAGGCAGGAATACCAGAGTGGGTTGCCATGCCTTCCTCCAGGGGATCTTCCTGACCCAGGGATTGAACCTGCATCTCTTATGTCTCCTGCACTGGGGGGCAAGTTCTTTACCACTAGCACCACCTGGGAAGCCCCATTAGTAAAGATATATCATTTTAAATTAGAACTTTTGTGGGCCATATGGATCTGTTAGGAGCACTGATGATGAGTGATAAAGTCACTCCATTCTACCCTCCTTCATTGTTCTTTCAAGTTCGAGTTGTCGAGACCTCTAGGGGGTTCTGAGGAGAAAACTCTCCCTTTGGAGAATCTCATAAGTCTCTCTGCGTGTGCACTGAGATGAATCCAAGCCCTCACCAGCCCTGTGGGTGGCTTCATTCAAACAGGAGTCTGAGGAAACACAAAGATGGTGTAGGAAAGAAGACGGCTACACAGAAGCGGGGGGAGGCATCCAGGCACACTCATTCTTGGGCAGGGAACATGGAGAGCGCTTGACCTCCATTTTCCTCTTCAGCTTTGACCTCGGCTTTTTGTGATTTCTGGAGGCATGGCTTTTCTCTTACAAGCCCTGACACAGCCTCTGTTCTTCACCTCAAACAAGCTTGTATTTACCAAAGGTGTTCACAGCTTTGGTGGTGTCTAGGAATTGGGTCTGCCTCGCTCCCCATCCCTCTGTGTGGGGTGATGAGCGAGACCATCACGCACTTTCACTGTTTCATGCTTGGCCATGGCCATGTCCTTCCTTCACTCAGTAAGCGACACTCCTTGGAGCTTGCGTTGGGTGCCAGGAAGCGCTGTGTTCTAGGCACAGAGATAGAAAGATTCAGGGGCAGACTGGCTTTTTGCCCTCATGAAGCAGATGTCTACTGGAGAAAGCTGGATCTCTCTCACACACACAGACACACACACACAGACACACACACACACACGAGGGTAGAAGTGCCAGATTGCTTATTTTTTAAAAAGGTCAAGAGTGACCGAGTGGCCGCTTTCTACTGGGTGCTCAAGAAAGGTTCAAACCTCAAGAAAGGCTTTTTAGAAAATGACATTTAAGCTGAGATCTGAATGACAAGAAGAACCAGACATAGGGAGGGTGTCAAAGCAGAGGAAGTGGCGAGTGCTGAAACCCGAAGGAGAAATGGGCTGGGCAGTGGTTCACAACAGAGGCTATTTCACCACCCACGGGACACTTGGCCATGTCTGGAGATATTTCTGGGTTGTTTTTGGACTTTCCTTCTGCAGGGGGGTTGGGGATGCTCCTGGTGGCCAGTGGGTAGAGGACTGCTCAGGATAGTTCCGACGGCGGCACAGCTGAGGTTAAGAAGTCGGGTGTTATAAATTGGGACAGAAAGGCACCATGCCCACAGCCAAACGTGCACGGGGCAGGGGCAGAAGGCACGAAGCAGGGGCTGGGTGGGTGCAAGATTACATGGGGCCTCTTCATCTGGAGGAAGAAGCGTGATTGCTACTCTTAAGTGTAACGGGAACCTGCTGGAAGGATTGAACCAGAGAAACGTGGTGTTCTGATGGGCATTCACAAAGACCACAACAGAGACTCATCTTGCTGCCTCCCTTCTCTCCAGTTCCCTTTGTCTGGCCCTGCTTCCAGCTCCCACTTCATTTGGGCCTCTGTTCCTGCCAAGTGCAGCCCTGGGGACCAAATGTCACCCTGTTAAGTGTTTTGTGAAGAGATGCCTGAACTTTATGCAAGCTGATAATGCCACTGAAATGACACCGTTTTCACTCCCTTTCCACGAAGAGCATTCCAGGCTGCGTACTGTCTTTCTGTTTGCAGGACAATCTTCTGCTGAGCTCTAGCAGGATCACTTTTCCTCCTATTTTAAGCCATATCTTTCTCACTCCTCCTGTCACTATCCTGGCCTTCCTGGTTCTACCCAAAAAGATAATGAAAATCGTCTCCAACATGACTGTGAGGCACTATGAAACGTCAGGAGCCTTTCTTGGTCATTAGCCCTTGATAAATGTCAGCTCTGTGATGAGCATGTCTAAGCTGCTCTCCGTCCTTCTTCTGAGTCTGCCCATTGTCTGTGGGTCATTCTCTCCACGGTGCAGCGCTCTGCAGCACAAGCCAGGCGGCATCTCACCAGCTCTGCTCGGCTCTGAGACGCTGGCGAGAGGCAGTGTTGTCAGCGATGACGGATGAAGAGCTAGGGCATCCATCTGGGTGTGAACTTCCAAGTTCAGTGCTCTTTTCACCAAGCCTCCTACACACTCTCCTTGCAAATAAGAGTCTCAGAGGGCGAGGACCCGGCTGGAGTTGTTCACGGTCAGGAAAGAATCTAGCACAGCCCTGCGTGGACAGCAGTACCTGGATTTACCAGTGAAGAAATGATGTATGTTTCTCTCTCACTCCCACTGTAAAATAAACATATGTGAACAAGCCTAGGCTGTTCCCTCTCTGTCATATCTCATTTCATCCCTCCCATATGCACAGACATTCATAAGCCCAGAAGGGGATTAAGGAGTTGGTAGGAGTATTTAGGGGAGATGATCCTGAACTAGGATCAAGGCCAGGAAAAGAAGCAGAGCTCAGACTGGGGCTGGGGCCAGGACTGAGGTCTCGGCTGGGACCATCTCTGGAGATGGATAGGGTAGGAGAGAGGAAAAGGAATGTAAGGGCGACAACACTGTGGGCAGCACTCAGAGACAAGGGCTTGTGTGGGAGTTCAATTCACAGTCAGATCTACTGTTACTGGCCCGATAATAAAGCAGCTCGAACTCACTTGAATCAGACACATGGGGTCTGCTAACACTCAACTAAAATTAGAGGCTGAAGTTAATCAGGCAGAGTGCCTACCTCCTATTTGGTTTGGTTTTACCTCTTTATTACTGGATTTCCTTCATGTAAGCTATTTTTTATGAATTTTGCACAATAGCTAAAGCTAAAATACCTTTTAGCAATTTTTGAGAAGTGAACAAAAATATTTGCTCATAAAGAACTGACTGAAATCATTTCTTATGCATGTTTAAAGCCTGCAAATGTAATGAAAATGCCAAATCTTTTGCAAGAAGCTTGGATGATAAAATAAGAAACAATACTGAAGAAATACTGGGGATACCTGAGGTCTAACCATCCATTAGGGGCTCTTTAGAGGTAACCACCTCATCTGTGGGCTTTCCAGGTGGCGCTAGTGGTAAAGAACCCCTTTGCCAATGCAGGAGATGTAAGAGACACAGGTTTGATCCCTGGGTCAGGAAGATCCCCTGGAGGGGACGATGGCAACCTACTTCAGTATTTTTGCCTGGAGAATCCCATGGGCAGAGGAACCTGGTGGGCTACAGTCCATCTGGTCACAGAGAGTCGACTTAGCATGCATGCATGCACCTCATCTGGAAGAGAAGCAGTTCCCATGTGCTGTTACCATTTCAGTCCCCAATATACGCTGTCTCCTAGAGACGTAAGAATTCTATCCTTAACACTCATCTACACTCACTTCCAAATTTGGGAACATTTGTAAGTGGAACTCAAAGCAGTAGATCTGGCTTTTTAAATAAAAAGTTACATTTAAATCAATCTCTGCTCTTTATAAGCTAAATACCATTTGTCATTTCTCGGCCATCATTCGAGTTTCACCCACACAGAGGCCACAAATTCTGGGCCATGGTGAGGCTGTGGTCAGCCCGGTGTCCGGTCAGCTAGCTAAAGATAACCAGCTAGCTTACTGGGTCAGGACTAAAACAGGAAGAGCACTGTAGAGTAGTCAAAAATATATTAAAAATTTTTTAATGTGGAGAGAAAGAAAACCCAAACTTTTCAATAAACTGAAATGTCTCCCATAATGGTAAGATATCTAGCTAAAAGCAAGGTTATTATTTTTTCTTCTTTTATGGCAACTCTGTTTTTCACTAGTTGCGACAACATGTTTGGTGAAGGGATATTTTACTTCTAAATGGAAAGAAACAACGTGAGCTAGAAGCTGGGTGGGGAGCTGGGTGATGTGGCTAGGGGAAGATAGCTAAGGGTTTCCTGGTCCAAGCCCATAGAAGAAGAGTCTCTAATCTCTGCAGAAAGGATACTGATTTCATTGTCCCTCTGCTGCAGAATATCACGTAGCTTTTTATACTCTTCCTCTTTCAATGGTTCTTGGCAGTTCTGATCTTTGTTTTCAGAGGGGGCTGTGCTCTGTCTGTGGATCTTCTTGTCATGCAGTAGTTTCTGTAAGATGAAACAAGAGCTTAGCATCCATACCTCTATTCCCAGTGTCTTTGTGTCTCTGATTCTTTTCTCCTTTACCAGTGCCTTGCACACATTAGGTATTCCCCTCTGACGCCTTGCCTTGCAATGCAGTTGCCTTTGCGGCAATGTGTCTTCTCCCCGCTACCTGTCTTCTTTCCATCCTCCTTCATCATACCCCTCCCCCTTAACTTGTCTTTCCCTCCCTAACATGGGGAATTCCTGCTCAAACACTGTCTTCTCTTGAACTTCTTTTGCTTTCTCTATAACCTCATACCACTAACTCACACTTTAAAAAAAAAATGTTCATGAATTATAATTATTCTTTACATATCTGTCTCCTCTGTGACTTACTTAGTCAACTTTGCCTTCTCCATGCCTAGTCCAGAACAGACTCACACAAATATCTATTATCTTAATGAAGTATGCTAAACTACAAGTCAGGCAGACACAGAGGTTAATGATATTCACACTGTGTCATTATGAAAGTAAAACCTAAGACCAAAGCTGCTGAAGAAAAATGAAGGACACAATTCTTTTGACATTGCTCGAAAATAAGTGGATTTTAAACATGAAACTATTTTGTGTAGAAGGTAGAGAGATTCCTGGCCAAAGCTTTAGAAGTCCAAGGTCTGAGCTTATCCAATGGAAAGTAAGATACAACCTCTGAAGAAATTCAGTGATCATCTGTTTGAACCATCTCAGTGGTTCAAAGACCATACTGTTCTGGAAATGGGAAGCTGGCTCCTCAACCTTTCAAGAGCAGGTCAACTAGAAAAGCTTTATTGCAGTTTGAACACAGCAGACAATGGCTTCTACTAGTGGAAATGTTTAAATTTACCTTTAAATAATGGAAACAGTGATGAATTTTACGCATATCAGCGCCAACCTCTAGTTTACTCTCTGGATCCTGGTCTTCCAAAAAGGATGTTATTAGTTTTTCCAGCCTAAAAATACATAATGTATGAGAATCAACTACAAGCTTGAAACTTTAGAAATTCTAGTGGCATTACTTTGTTAGTTAACATTTGAAGTACAGGATATTGTTCTCACTTCCTTGTGAAAATACAGTTATCCGATTTGACTATAAACATTAACGGGGAAGAAACAAATTGGCAAAGTGAAGTCTGGAAATGATGCAATTATTTGACTAATTTCCAGTGGACTTTCACATGCAGATTTCAATTCAAGAATCATTTGATTTCTACAAGATATGCATTCTAGCCAAGCTTTCTGTGCTCTTGTGCCTAACTGCAACACTGCTAAAGATAAAGTAATGAAAAAAAATTTTTTTTATTAGTTTCATTAAAAATTCCTGCTGCTCAGTCTGAGCTGGGACCTTAGTGGTGCCCCAAACCCTTAGACTCACTCCTGGTTGACATACAGTGTTCACAGTGGCTCTTCCAAATCCTCCCACAGCCCCCAGCCGGCCACCTTGCTTTCCTCTCCATCAGTAATGCAGCTTCTCACTAGACTGAGAAGTCAAAGTTGTTTCAAGTGGGCTCCTTCAGCTACCTTTACCTCCACCTGCCAGTGTCTCTGTCTCACCTCTCAGGCCCTCTTCCTTCTGATTTTGGATAATATCCTTCCTCCTTCTCATGGCCAACCTCTCCCCAGACTCTCTTCAGGCTCCTAGCAGGCTTACCTGATTAGCTACCTCCTTAGTACCTCTTCATACTGATCTTTCCCTTCTCTTTACAATGATTTTCATGCTAGTCCTATTCTAAAACAAATAAAAAATAGAAAACAAACATCTGCCTTTGGAGGGAACATCCAGGCCACCCCAGGAAGTTTAGTTTGTGGCTTATAGTGTCCACACTACATTCTAGGGTCTGCATGGCATCTTTGCTTCCCTGTTAGTTTATGAGCATCATGGGGCAATTCCTGACTCTTAATTCTTCCTTGTGTTCCCTCTCCCTGATCCTGTAATCTAGAGCATCAGCATAGAATCAATGGAATGATTCCTTCTATGTTGAGATAAGACTCTTGATAAGGAAGGTGTAAGAATGGCAATCACTATCTGAGCTTTATTGCAGTTTGAACACAGCAGACAATGGCTTCTACTAGTGGAAATGTTTAAATTTACCTTTAAATAATGGAAACAGTGATGAATTTTACGCATATCAGCGCCAACCTCTAGTTTACTCTCTGGATCCTGGTCTTCCAAAAAGGATGTTATTAGTTTTTCCAGCCTAAAAATACATAATGTATGAGAATCAACTACGAGCTTGAAACTTTAGAAATTCTAGTGGCATTACTTTGTTAGTTAACATTTGAAGTACAGGATATTGTTCTCACTTCCTTATGAAAATACAGTTATCCGATTTGACTATAAACATTAACGGGGAAGAAACAAATCGGCAAAGTGAAGTCTGGAAATGATGCAATTATTTGACTAATTTCCAGTGGACTTTCACATGCAGATTTCAATTCAAGAATCATTTGATTTCTACAAGATATGCATTCTAGCCAAGCTTTCTGTGCTCTTGTGCCTAACTGCAACACTGCTAAAGATAAAGTAATGAAAAAAAATTTTTTTTATTAGTTTCATTAAAAATTCCTGCTGCTCAGTCTGAGCTGGGACCTTAGTGGTGCCCCAAACCCTTAGACTCACTCCTGGTTGACATACAGTGTTCACAGTGGCTCTTCCAAATCCTCCCACAGCCCCCAGCCGGCCACCTTGCTTTCCTCTCCATCAGTAATGCAGCTTCTCACTAGACTGAGAAGTCAAAGTTGTTTCAAGTGGGCTCCTTCAGCTACCTTTACCTCCACCTGCCAGTGTCTCTGTCTCACCTCTCAGGCCCTCTTCCTTCTGATTTTGGATAATATCCTTCCTCCTTCTCATGGCCAACCTCTCCCCAGACTCTCTTCAGGCTCCTAGCAGGCTTACCTGATTAGCTACCTCCTTAGTACCTCTTCATACTGATCTTTCCCTTCTCTTTACAATGATTTTCATGCTAGTCCTATTCTAAAACAAATAAAAAATAGAAAACAAACATCTGCCTTTGGAGGGAACATCCAGGTCACCCCAGGAAGTTTAGTTTGTGGCTTATAGTGTCCACACTACATTCTAGGGTCTGCATGGCATCTTTGCTTCCCTGTTAGTTTATGAGCATCATGGGGCAATTCCTGACTCTTAATTCTTCCTTGTGTTCCCTCTCCCTGATCCTGTAATCTAGAGCATCAGCATAGAATCAATGGAATGATTCCTTCTATGTTGAGATAAGACTCTTGATAAGGAAGGTGTAAGAATGGCAATCACTATCTGCGATGCTCACTATCATTATATGGCAGCAGTCTATCTTTCTCACATTGTTTTGAAAATATCTGCTCACTTTCAGCATCATTTTGAACAGAACACACTTCCTTTCCACTAGTACTACCAGCCTACTCAAATAAGATGTAATGATTTCCTTCAGACAGCAGAGAATGAGATGGTTAGATAGCATCACTGACTCAATGGACATGAATCTGAGCAAACTCTGAGAGACAGTGAAGGACAGGGAGGTCTGGCATGCTGCAGTCCATGGGGTCAACCAAGAGTCGGATACGACTTCGCAGCTGAACGACAACAAGCAGCTTTGGATGTCATTCTTATGTCTTCCTACAATCTGCGACAACGTGACAGTTGTTGCTTCCCAATTTGCACTGTAATTTTTAAGGAGTATCTTTGGGTGGAGGGGTACTTATTTGCACCATTTGCTGATTGACATAATCTTACTTTGTAGCAGGCTTCAAACTGTCAGAGACATAGAGATATTAGTTCCTGATACAAAATGTGTTTATGTTTTTATGTGAAATATTATAAAAATAGATATTTATGGAAAGAATTCCAAACAACACAGATGTGAATAAATTGAAAAGTAAACACTCCACTCTTCTCCCTCCCTTGCCACCATTCTCATCTTTATTGACTCTCAATACTTTGGGGAATCCATGGTTAGCAGCGGAAATACAATCTTCTAGTTCGTAATGAAGCAGCTACCTATAGCCTTATGTGCATTTGTAGACTTCATTTGTTTATACAAAAATGAGATCACACTCTGAATAGAGTTCTGTATCATTATTTTTCTAAACAATTTATCAGAAATAATATTCCATGCCAGTACATATATAATAGAACTATTTCATTTTTAATGGCTATGTAATATTGTATAGTGTGTGTCCTGAGCCTCTCATGATAGACACTGAGGCAACATATTCATAATTGCTACTTTCTTCTATCACTCATGAGGAGACCTGAATGCACAATAGCCAATTAACCAAGTTTCAAAATGTAGCAATGCATATCCATTTGTATTGGCCCTGAATACTTAGCAAAAATTCTGAAACTCTGAAAATTATCATTAGTTCTAGAATTTACCACAATAGTAAATAGAATTTACTATCCTCTGGGGTATAAGTGTTTTTTGGTTTCCAGTGTCCCTAAAATTTCAAACAGCCAATATTAGACTGGAAGCAGTGGCTAGTAAATTCTTCTGCCTTGCTTTTTCTTTCGAAAATAATTTCTCCTGTATAGTATGATCATGAAGTAAATATTCTAGGAAACACTCCATTAAGCAGGACTGAAGTGGGTTATAAGTTCACAAGAAAGCACTGTAAGATTGTACAGGCCTGCTGACTAGCTGAGTTAACTCACAGATCACTCTGTGTCACTGGACTTTGGTTGTTACATCAAGACTCTTGTCTTGCACAATAAGAGTTTAGGATACAAGGAAGACCAGGAATCCAAAGAAATGGTGAAGAACTTCTGCCTAAATGAGAGAAGAGGATTGCTTCACCCCTCCTGAGACTTGATTAGTTGGATATAAAAGTAAGAATGAAGATCAGGTCTTTTGACGTGCAATTTTTTTCCCTTAGTACTTGACACAACAGAGCCTCTTCAGATAAGAAAAAAATGCCTGGTCTTCCCTTCATCCATTAAATGATTTATTGTTGAATTAATTTTCTTATCAGCCAAGGACTTGGCCTAACAATTAAAATGCAGAAAAATGCCTATTCAGATGTTTCTGATGTACTCCTCTCATAGTTAAGAGTGAACGATTGACCCTAAATTCCCTGCATTTTCCTATCTCCCAAAATAGTTCCTAAGTTCATACCTAGTCACTGCTCCCACTGGGGGTCTCCCAGCTGCCAGAACCCTGCTGGCCAGTGAAGAACTGTCTGCAGGAAAGCTCTCCCAAGAGGTCAAGTGAGTATGATAAGTCTGTTCTTTAGGATAAGCCCAAGTAAACAAGAAATTTTACTTGTTCTCTGTCGCTAGGAAAAAAAGAAGTAAAAGAATCCTATTGGAGAAGTAAAACTAAATGCATGCCGTTCAGTTAGAGTTCATATGGACAAGAAAGATGGTAGATAATCTATGTGCCTGAACACTAAGCCTGGCTGGTAGGTGACTGGAGGATATTAGTGATGATACTTGTTTCCACCAAACTGATTGTTGATGAGACAGTGCTGACAGCCTGTAGCTTAGATCAGCAATTCTATTGTACTATAAATTTTGAGCCCTGGCCATATCACAAGCTGTCGTTGCTCAGTTGCTAAGTCATGTCCGACTCTTTTGTGACCACACTGACTGTAGCCCGCCCGGCTCCTCTGTCCATGGGATTTCCCAGGCAGGAATACTGGAGTGGATTGCCACTTCCTTCTCCAGGGGATCTTCCAGACCCAGGAATCAAATTCAGGTCTCCTGCATCGGCAGCATGGTTCTTTACCACTGAGCCTACTGGGAAGCCCATGGCCACACCAAAGAATTGACCATGATTTCTAACGCAAGCTTTATCCCCTCAAGACCACTAGACTACTTCTGTTTTCACTCCCAACCTTTCTTGCCAAAAAAATAAAGATTTATCTACAGTCATATTTTTGTGGAAATTTAGGTTTAGTAGTGTGACTAGAAAGGGAAAACCAGTTACTCATCACCAACAATAGCTGGTATTACTTGGGCAAGCACTAAATGCTAGCTACTGGCCCGTGCCCTTTGAATACAACATTTCCTTAATCTGCACAACAGCTAGATGGGCTGAATACTATTATTGTCCTCATATCATAAGCAAAGCACCTGAAGTACAGAGAGGTTATATGTCTTGCCCAAGGTCATACAGCTAGCAGCCCGCAGAGCTGGAATTCAAACTAGGGGAGGCTGACTTCAGAATTCAAGTTTTAAACACTGTGCTTACCATCCTACATTTAGTTACTACATTTATTTAAACATCATGCTGGGCAATGTATTTCTAAAGGGCAATGCCATACCATTTAGAATTTTTTGAAAAGGTAAATAGTCAAATAGACAAGAGGGAAATAACTGAGTTGCACTTGCTTAGCTCTTAATAAGGTCACTGACTGGCATGCTTTATAACAGCAAACGAAGTTGGGAAAGAATCAGAATGCCCACATTAGGAAGTTAAATAAATTATGGCATAATTGTTTACACTGTTAGGCAACTATTTAAAATGATGGTGAAGAGGTATATTTACCGGCATTAAAATAGTCATGATATATTATGATAGGTTAATAATGAATCCCTTTACAGGGATTCTGCAAGTAGCCTGCAATACACCCACAAAGAAGACATGAGACAAGAAAGAAGGAAGGAAAGACAGAAGGAAGAAAAAAACCCTGAGACTTTTGCCCAGTTGCCTTTGGCTCAAGAACATTTATTATCTCCTTGTGAAAAGAGAGACTAGCGATCCAAGAGAAACTTGCTCTTCTGCAGTGTTTTTATCATTATGTTACATTCAACTGTTTATTAAATGAAGTTCATTGTTTATACACTGTGCACGATTATGATGTTCTCATTATTCTAAAATAATCTTTGTTAAAAAAAATTCAGCATGTTCCTGTCAGCATTAGCGTCTCTAAAATAATCTTTGTAAAAAAAAAATTTAGCATGTTCCTGACAGCAATAGCATCTCCAAATGAGTTAGAAACCATGTCTCTATGGTACTGGTTGTGGGAAAGTTGGGGGAAAAGAGGAATGGGTATAAGCAATAAGCACGCCTAAACTGGGACATGGAAATCCCGGCTGGTTCTAAACCCCAGGACAGCTATGGGAAGTGTGGCCCAGAGAGTAACCGGGGGACAAAGATGGCAGAAGTGTCCTATGACACAGTCTTATTCCAGGGAATTAATGGGGAAAAACAAAGTTAGGGAGTGCAAGGCATTGGGACCTTATCCTTGGATACTGAGCTGGAAA